CCCATGGCTTTAGATTTGAACAATCCACCGCCTGACGAGGGAGACCTTACCAAACCTCAACGAGAAGCAGCCTAAAGATGAGGATGATCTATTCCAGATCCATGATGCACATCAAGATGATCTTGTTGGAGTTGAGATTACTGGAGGGCAAAACCAAATAATCAGCCCAGGTACTTGTCTTTTTACTTATCTAAGTTATTGGAGTACTCCAACCTCACAAAACTCACCTGCTCTTGATGAACACCACCTACCAGATGGGGGAGGAGAAGCCATACCAGACCTTAATATGCAGCCTACACATGATAAAGAGCCTTTCCATGTTTTTGTTGGAGATGATGACATAGCTACAGGGGACGAAGGTATTAGTGCAGATGGAAATGACAACTTTGATGTTTATGGTGATCTTTTCGATCTCAACTTACATGCTTCCTATCAACCAGATCTAGACCATTGTAAGTGTTTTTGTCTGTATGTATTTTCTTCCATAGTTTGCCTACATGCTTTTTTATTAGTGCTTAATAGAAAACACAATGGCTTACAAGTTAAGATCCTTTCTGAGCTATTGGGTACATACATGCATGCTCAGGAATAAATTCAATGTAGAGTTACTTAATCGAAGGACTATATGACATTGTATTGAAAGCTATAGCACATAATCAGATTGGACTAGACATACTTTATCTTATATTCAAGGTTTATTTGTTGATGAATTAGTGGGTCAATGTGGTACCATGTCCAATAGAGACTTTAGGATGAAGAATTACGTACACAGAACCTCCAACTAGTGCCCACACTGCATGTAGTACCATGTCCAGTAGAGAAGTTCCTGCAAAATATATGAATAATGTACATTTAGTTATTATTTGTTAATAAATTTCACATTCCACAAATATAGATTACAATGATTAAAAACAAGTTAAACTAAGCCATCAAACAATAAATGGATGTACATTTGTTTAGTTCCGGATGAACACAATCAGCACCTATATTTTTTTGTAATTAATGATGACTACATCCCAACCATGGAGGAAATGCATGAGTATGGCGTCTATGCCAATGAGGTGGACATCGTCTTTGATCAGGAATAGTTATCTGACTCCAGTGACGAAGATTATGAACCAGGAAATGGGAATTTTAGGACAAGGTCAAAGGATCTTACTACAGCTCAAAGGCAACAGATATATGAAGCACTGTTGGAGAAAAGCAACCGAGGAAAACTAACGAGAAACACTACAACTGAGGTTGCTGAATTATTTCATGACAATCGACATGCAGTGTGGCGTATTTGGCGACAAGCAAAGCAATGTCGTGCTAATGGAGTGCCGGTTGATGTTAGTTCAAGAAAGCCCAAGAATTGTGGCCGCAAAAAGGTTGAAATCGACACCTCATAAGTAGAGATCATTCCATTGCACAGAAGGTGTACCATAAGGTCTCTAGCTCAAGCTCTAGGTATGAAAAAAACCACAGTACATCAGATGTTCAAAGATGGGTTCCTAAGACGGCACTCCAACTCATTGAAGCCATATTTAAAGGAGGAAAACAAAAAAGAAAGGTCGCGGTGGTGCGTTTCAATGTTAGAGCAGCATACATTGCAAACTCAGCCAAAGTTCAAGGAAATGAAGAACATCATACACCAAGATGAGAAGTGGTTCAACAGAACAAGAAAAGATGTGACCTACTACATGACTCAAGATAAAGAGGACCCACGTAGGACTGTGTGAAACAAGAATTACATTGAAAAAATAATGTTCTTCTGTGCAGTAGCCAATCCTCAGTATGATGATGAAGGGAACTGCACCTTTGATGGTAAACTAGGCATATGGCCTTTTATAAGAGGTACCTGAACTTATGTGTTTTTTTGCTTCAATTAGTTTCTATGGTTTGCTTTGGAAGCTAACATGTTTGTCAATTGATATAGGAACCAGCAAAAAGAAAAAGTGGTAACAGACCAAGGGGACACCAATCAACAAGACAATGAAAGTTGATAGAGTCACAATAAAGTCCTATATGATTACTAAACTCCTACCAGCAATTAGAGATCGTTGGCCTCGAGATCAATGCCGCCAAACTATTTGGATTCAGCAGGACAATGCTAGGACTCATATCTCGGTTAATGATGAGGAATTTGCACGAGCAGTAGCCCACCTTGGGCTTGATATCCGCCTCACGAACTAGCCCCCTAACTCCCCTGATATGAATGTCTTAGATCTGGGGTTCTTTGCATCTCTACAGTCGTTGACATACACAACGATCTCTAACAATATGAATGACTTAATTGCCAATGTTAAGAATGAATATGAAAGCTATGACCACAGAGCAATTAGAAATGTCTTCCTAACACTGCAAGGTTGCATGATTGAGGTGATGAAGGCCGGTGGAGGGAACAAATATAAGATCCCTCACATGAACAAAGATAGGCTGGAGGCCAAAGAGCCTCAATTGTGACCGTCAACTATATGAGAGTGTGATGGAGTCCCTAAATGCGTAGTTTCTTAGTGTTTAGAACTCAACATTTTGTTGAATGCAGTGTTAGTGTGCTACATGTACAAAGGTGTTTGCTGGTAGTGTGCTGCATGTACAAATGTGTTTGCTACTACTATGTTGCATGTACAAAGGTGTTTGCTAGTGTGATCCCTATGTGTTGTCCAGTGCTTCAAAATGTACATATGTGTTCTTGTTTCAGAATATCAGCGAGACCTACTTTTGTAAGGGTATGGTATGTGTTCTATTAAAGAAGAAAAAAAGTTAATCAACGTTTCAATTAGAACTTATGACCAAACACAAAAAAAAACAGAAGGGAGCACACATGTTCACAAGTCTTTTAACGTCTTTCGAGAGAAAACTGCATTTCCACTATACAACAATGATTTTGGCTTCCTGTTAAATTACAATGTGCGTTCGCCATAATCCAACATCAAAGTAGTTAATGTCGTAGAATAATTTGAAACAAAACAGCTCGTCACAAATACAACGAATTAATGCCACAAGGCTGGTCACCACAAACTAAAGCCGAAATTAAGGTAGTTAATTTAGTAGCATAGTTCACAAAGAAACAACCCCATCATAATTACAACTAAATCCACAAGGTTGGTCACCACATACTAGATCAGTAGCATTACTCCTACCCAAAAGCCAACATTTTTTCACAGCAAGTTCAAACCAAACCATGCACACCAGCATACCTACATATCATTTCATCGTCACACATGACCACTGATTAACACAAAGCGGCACTTACTTCATCATCACAAATATGCACATGACCAACAGATCAACCCAAAAGCAACACCGATCGTCACAAATATGCACATTTCACTACGGTTGGAAGCATGCAGCAAATAATTTTAAGGATCTTTGAGAAAGGTCTCGTGGAAGAGGGGTTCCATCCGGCAAGTCTGTAGCTTCAAGTGTTGAACCATCTCGGGTGTAGTTCGTCAAATCAAGGCGGCAACATCCCCCACAGGGGACGTCCACAATAGCTGGACCGAGGCAGCCTTGATGACCGGATTTGCGCCATGGTCATCTTCTCGGACTTGTTGCTAGTCAGACGCCACCATCAAGACGTCCACAGTTGTAGCGCCCACCAACATCACCTCCGGGCAGCCCAAAGACATCGACGGCTGTCGACGCTCCACACCACGACCATGTCCATCTTCCTCCTTTGAATCGAGGAACATAAAGTCCCGCCCATGCCGATGCCTTCATCTTGAGTCAAGGACATACAATGGCCAAGGTGATCGACTCAAGGCGACTACGCCCAATATTGAGGACGTGCTCCGGGCTCCCATCACCGCCACCTGCCCCTAGCTTCACGGGTTCCTTTTGTCTTGTACCACGGTCGCACATCTTGGGGATAGGCACGGAGCTCACGCCACCTTCCCCAATCTCATCGCACATCTTGAGGATAGGCACGGAGCTCACGCCGCCTTCCCCAATCCCGTCGCACATGTTGGGGACATCGTCTTCCCCAATCTTGCCGACGGATCATGGGATTTTGTCGGCGCCCCCAAACACAGGGACGCACATGGGGCTCCCATCAGCGCCGCCGCCCGCATTGGCACCGACGACCAACACCTTAACTAGGCGCTCGGGGCTTCCATCGCTGTTGCTGCTGGCTAGCTTCGCACCTCTATGCGTGGACCGCCTAACCCGCTGGATCCAGCTCCCACGGGTACGGAAAGGGCGGCGTCGAGATCTAGCCATCCCTATTGACGCGCGAGGCCTAAGGATGGATAAGAGGAAGAGGGAGATGGAACAGAAAATGGAAGGAGGCGGTGCGGTCAAGCGAGCTGAGGGAGATGCAGCGGAAGATTGTTTCGACGACGGCTTTGTGGTTTCGCGGGTCTGGCTGGCGTGCGTCGTCGGGCAGCACTGCGTGGCGCTACGACAAGTAGGCTCACGCGTGCTCAGCTATCGGACCACGAAGGGCTCGGCGGCAGCGGGCGCTTTGGTCTCGCAATATCCGACGCAGGGAGAGACACGGTGCGGCAACGGAGGTTCGATGGTGGGCGCGCGGCTCCGACGCTGGCGAGCGGCAGCAGCAGAAGGGAGGCGCGCGGCTGGCCCTGGCATGGCGCACAGGCAGCGAGAGCGCAGGAGACTCGGGCCGGTCGTGCTGGTACGGGAGGCGGCGCGGTCAATGGAGTTGCGGGCGGTGGAGGAGAGTCGAGTGGATACATGCGAGCTGTAACGTGTGGTGGTGAGGAAAGTGCTGAGGAAGGAGATTTTTTTTAAGGGCAAGGAAGGAGATTTTTTTGGGATGGTGGGATCAAGAGACACAAACGATAGCTACTCGGGTCCCTCCGTTTGCATTCTTTCATAGACAACGCTCCCACCCTCCGTTTGCAATCTTTACCGGACGGAGGGAGTAGTTTGAAGTGGAATAGCAAAATGTATCATCAAATGCGAGTAAAGTATTTATATTTGATACAATGGAACGTAATTGGTCTCCTACTTTACACAAGCTAAAAAAATGCAATGCTTTCTTTGACTAACACTGTCTATATTGGAATAACATTAGCAAGTAAGATATGAAGAGCCACATATATCACGCCAACAATTACAAAGACTGCTGGCAGTAGTACCAACAGGATGATCGGTCTCTTCGCCCACCGTCCCATGATCGCCAGTGCAAAGGGGTAAAGGAGCACCATGATCCACACATTGAACAGAAGTCCGAGCGCAGCATGAATCTTCTTCGCCACTGTCCATACTCCCATGTACACCAAGGCCTTGCCCATGGCCACTCCAACAGTCCAACATTGGCAGCCAAGACAAACGCTGTGGGAATCAACATCGGCATCCATCGCATCTCATACAAATCGGCAAACTTGTCATTGGTGTTGGCGGTTATTTGCTTGGAAGTGACCCTGAAGTGTATACCCTTCTTCGTGAGGAGTTTCTTTGCCATGTGCAATAGTGCTATTAGGTATGCACTTGTCGATCCAACCCATGAAGAACTGCTCATTACGCCAATAGTCTAGCCATGTGACCCTAGCCCACTTTATCTCGAGCCAGCCAATCATGTGGATCATCAATATAATTATGAGAAGGTACACAACATACCTAGTGAAGGGCCTTTGGATGTGTATTTCATCGGGGACGAGCCACATTACCGGGCAGAGAGCATAGAGCAGGATGAAAAGTGATGTGACTGGGTAGACCGTCATGTTGAGGTAGGAGACACGTTGAAGAAGTTGCAGCCGCTGGCCACCGATGAGTGGGTTGTTGAGGGAGAAGAACATCTCTAGGGACCTACCAGACCAACGAACAATTTGGTGGAGGCGCTCTGTTAGGTTGATTGGTGCTGTGCCACAGAATGCATCATGCTGCATTGTGCAATACATGGAACGCCACCCTTTCCCATGGATGCGAAATCCAGTCACTATATCTTCAGTTGCTATGTCATAGATGTAGCCAACACCCTTACCCCACAGGCCCGGTCCTGTCAATTTATGGGCCTGGAGCTTGGCCAGAAAGATGGGTCCTTCATTTACGACAACGCGCAAGAATGACGCCGGACGCGAAGACGTAGCTATGAAGCGACCAAGAGAGCGGCCGCGGCGAAAGTGAAATCGACGGACTCTTCCTCACACGCTCCAGTATTTTTGGGCCACATATATGATTTTCTATTGGACCTAAGTATACCAGCTATAGCTTATAGTGTGTATATACCTGGGATTAGGCCCCTTGGCTTCGAGGGCCCTGTGCCAATGCACAGCTCGCACCCCCCAAGGGCCGGGCCTGTTACCCCAGTCAGTTCCTTTATCATAAGAAGCTGCCACAATCATCTCCATATTGGTGATAGATGTGTCATCAATTGGTGTTGGTGTGCTTAGCCTTTGTTTCTTCTATGGCTTTTGAGACCGAGTCTATTAAGAGTGTGGACTTGCCATACTTGCTAGATTCAGGTGTGATGTTGTCTTGTCTACAATGAGGTGGGTCAATGCCATAGAGCGCTATGCGACGGAACATGCATCCAGTGCCAAGGTAGGATGGTCCTTGCAAGCCATTTAGGGCAAGCATGGTTCCATCAAAGAATACTCGGTTGTGGTTGCCATACCGGTCTGTCGGGTCGACATTGTCGAAGCGCTGAGGGAATTGAACAAAAGCAGTGTTACCACCTTCCCGTTGATCAAGCATGAGGCAGACTGCTGCACGGAGAGCTTGAGAATTGTTGATGTAGTGGTCGCAGTCAAAGTTGATGATGAATTGTGCATTGGAGAGTAGAGCAGACACTCGCAGTTGTGCATTCAATGCGCCCGCCTTTTGTTGTGGTCATAGCTTGGATTCTTTTCACGAGAAACATACACAAGCATTGGTAGGCGCAACCCAGCAGCAACAAAGTCAGATTTATTTTCATCGTCGGCTTGGGGACTATGGTGATGTCCACGGCTTGGATGATCCAACACAACCTGTTGAAGGAATTAAGGTGTCAGAGGCAACTTTATTGTAATGGAATCAATATCTATAGAGTAGTAAGTAGGTTGGATAAGTATGCCTATTATATACTTTTTCGGAAATCAACAACATTTTACTGTGAACTTTAGTACCTTAACAATTCCAGCATGATGTCCTTTCTTATGGTTGTCTGTTGGATCCACCCATGTGCCTGGCCACTGCATCCCATTTGCCATCCATGTCGCTTGTGCATCTCCTTCTGAAGTTCTCATGCTGTTGTAAACATCCGAACGCTTGCAAATGGTGTCCGAAAGATTACCCAAGCGCACCTTAAACTCATCATAGTCCATCCGCAACCTCTTATAATCATTCATAAACTCTTGTGGTGCTCTTCCACCATGTGGTTTGCCTCCATCTCAAAATACCTTTCCGGTGCTCTTGGCTCAATGCAATGCTTGTGACAGAATGGAACCCACAAAATTGCAAATTTTGCAACCTCAACTAATGCTTCATAAAGGATCAGTGACACTCTATCATCGGAGACGTAGCAGGCAAGTCTGTCGACTGGATAGTCGGTGGTGAGGATAGAGAGGATGGAATTCATAGTGTAGAGAGTGTCGGCTCATCGACAGGGTCAGCGGTGGTGACAAAGACGTCGATGCCAGGGAGCTTAGAGGTGCCATCTGGAAGGTCATAGTGTCGCCTGAGGGCAGCAAGGTCAGGTATGCTCTTGACGGGGTTGAACTTGGGAAGCTGGTTCAGGAGCCATGAGAATCCGAACCAAGCGTCCCCGGCAACCGACATAGCCCAGAACCACATGGCATTGGATCTGTTGTTCCTGATGCGCCAGACGAAGAATAGGAGGACCACGAGTAGGCGTACGAAGATTAGTGTCCTGTAACAGCAGAATGGTTGGCATCAGAATGATGTCGTCAATGCTGATGACTGGTGAAAGTATGTCATCGGGTATTCTGGTCTCTCGTTACTGAAATGCCAAATGGTTGTGCATGTTCATGTTACTATAATGTCAACAGAAAGGAAACAACACTGGTGCATGTGCCAGTTAATGACATTAGCATCCAAAGTAGTGCCTGGAACATGGGAGCCCCGCGTGAATGTGCAGGTCAACACATGATAAGTTAAAGAAACTTTGCAAATAATATCTTAGTGTGCTTGTAAGATCGATCCTGTAGCCATCATGGCAGACTCCAACAAAAACGACTTGAGAAAAAAAAAAAGGTCCACGGTTCCGTAGTAAAAACATAGTACTGCACTCTGCTGTTGTGCTACTCTATATACTAGTACTACTGTGTGTGCGTGTGTGTATGAAATAAATGAAATATATACATTTGTATGCATGTTATCTAGCTTCCAATAAAAAATGCACGGTGTTCCTCACTCTCGTATGCATGCATATAAATGCTAACAAATAATGTGCGTGTGTTGAGTGGGCGTGCATGTGTACGAACAGATGCTACAGCTGTACCCAGACGAGAGACATTAAAAAAAAAGTTCAGTTTGACTGCGCGCCGGGGTACCTGTAGGGGTGCAGGATTGCGCCCCCTGAGCTTGTACGTCCGGAACAGCAGCGGCCGGCCGTCCTCAGCGCCGCACTCGGTCACCGCCCGCCTCTCCGCCTCGTCAGCTGCCACCCAGTACTTGCCCTCGGCGCCGCACTCCTTCGTCTTCGTGGCGCCGTTGCCATCGGCCGCTAGAAGTGTATCGGCGAGGCCGCCATCTTCCACAACGACAGCAGCGCCGGCGAAGTCACGGCTGCTGGTTGCCTAGGAACGGAGCCTAGCTGGCTAAGTGGCTACGCACGCACGCAGTGGCTCGCGGACTGCGGAGAGAGCGAGCGACTGCGCGAGCTGCAGCGGATATATAGAAAGAGACGCGGCTGGCCGGAAGGACTGACGACGATGGAAGTTTACTACACTAGCTAGCTAGGTCGGCATGGCCAAATCATGTTGAAAAAATGTGCGTCCAGATCTCTCTGCGGGATCACCGGATCGATCCATGTGCCTCCGGAGGCGGAACCCACGGCGTCGAGCTCGAGCGTCGTGTGGAGGCGTGCAGTGTAGCAACCATGTTCTACTAGCTAGATTCTTTTGCGTTTGTGTCAGGTCAGGAGATCATTAATATAAGGCGAATAAGTTTGGTGCGTTGACTATATTATACCTGGGCTGATTAGTTAACGCCTGGTGCTAACAATAATGCAAATTGTGGACGAAAGGATCGATCACAACTGATGCCAGACATGGAGCTCTGCATTACGCCAGTCGGCACACGTCATGTACATATACATGTTCATAGTTGATCCGGTTTCTGGCCGAAAATAATTGAGAGTACTGGCCACTACCGTCATGAGACTGGTTTGTGAGAACTCGGCTTGGGAGTCGATTGCATTAAATTAAATCGTAACAAAGAAAACTGATGGCGCATTTTATATAAAAAAATAGGAAAAACAGAAACTTTATAATTTTGCGTCGGGCCCAATTCTATGTCATCGTGTAAAGCAAGCCCACATATCTAATGCACGGCCCCAGTCCACGAAGCCGGTATCCTGCTCCAAAAGCGGCGGAGCATCTGAATGCGGAACACGCACGCACGGCCGATCAGGCGGTTCTGGGTACTGGCGTTTTTTTTTTGAAACGAACCGGCAGAAGAGCTGCCCGCTATATTAAAAAGAAGGAACGTCCAGACGGACACTGTACAACTCAGTCAACTCGACTCTGTACACAACTAGAAAAACAAAAAACACAATAAACACAATTGAAAACTAGGAGAGAAGTTGAAGGAAAGTAGAAATGTGCTTTGCTCCTGCCAAGATCCACAGTCTCGCCTCGTCTTTGATTCTCTGAAGAACCATAACATTGGTGGACTCTGTGTGCTCAAAAACTCTCGAATTTCTCTCCTTCCAAACTTCCCAGCAAACTAGTATAATGAGCGAACATAGGCCTTTCCTCCTCGTACTCGGCGCATTTGACATCGCCGTCCACCAGTTCTCAAGTGTCTCGCTATGTGGCCATGCACTCGGGTGTAGGTTGGAGTTTTGTGTCCGGTGGCAATTTCCTTCCAGAGGCGCTTCGTGAATCTGCAGTCCACGAAAAGATGCAGCTGTCTCGCATGAAGCCGGCATAGTGTGCAGAGTTCCTTGGTTTGGCCACCTCCGAAGCTTCCAATCTATCAGCCGTCCAAACTCGGTTTTGAATCGCAAGCCAATGAAGAATTTGCATTTAGGTGGTGTCCAAGGTTTCCAAATGAGTGCCTCAAAGTTGTTTTGGTTGCACCAATAAACTGGGCACGATAGCGAGAGGATGTTGTGTATTCACCATTTTCCTCAAATTTCCGTGAAAGGTTATCCGTCGTGCCCGTTCTTAGAATTATGCGCCTAATTGCTTGCCATAGATGTGTGTATTCAGCTAAGTGCTGGGCAAAGAAATTATTATGCTGAAGGTTGATGTCACGAATCCAATTATTATCAAGGAGTGCCTGTTGCAGAGTTCTATTTTTCCTTACGGAGATGGCAAATAGGTGCGGCGCTACGTCGCATGGTCATTGACCGTCTAGCCATGCACTCGACCGAACAATGCTCTTTTTCCGTCTCCTATTGTTAAAGTTGTGGATGCCGCTTAAAAAGGAACCGATCGGTCGTGTTACATGGGGTTTCATCCCCAAGACTACCATCGAACTTGCCGTCACCATTGTCGCCATAGCCATCTCAACCTTAATGCCCTTGCAAACTTCCCTAGATGGAGGATGCCCAAGCCTCCAGAATATTTTGGTCTAGCTGACCTCGGCCAATTGACCTTACATTTTCCTCCTGTTAGCGTCTCGGCGCTTTGCCCATAGGAACCTCTTCCCCGCCGATCAATGTCCTTGATTGTCGCTTTTGGTGCACGGAGGATGTGAGGAAGTAGACCGCTTGAAGTAAGGACCGCTTTAACCGAGTCGAGCGACTTTCTTTGGGTTAATTTGGCGCCCATTCCAAGCAAAGTGAGCTTGTTGACCGTTTTGTCTACCGAGGTCGGAAGTCCACACGCCTTAGGCGACGATGCGTTAACGGTGAGGCCTAGGTATTTGGTTGGGAAGCATGAAATTTCCGTTGGAGAGCCAAAAAAGATTTCATTTAGATTTAATCCTTCACACCGCATGAGGATGATTGTGGATTTTACGAAAGTTGGTTTTCAGATCCTGAAGCCTCGCCAAACAAGGTTAGGAGCTCACCATAGCTAAGATGTCTTCCTTGTTGGCTTGACAAAATGGCCGTGTCGTCAAGATACATTGAAGCTCTAATTTTAGTTGTTCTTCCCTCACCTGGACAAATGTCCTTTCTCGGTTGCTAGATCAAGCAGCTTTTTGCGGTGGATCCATTGCTATGACAAACAATAGAGGTGACGGCGGATCGCCTAATGAAGCCCTCTCGCCATGTTTGATAGGCGCGTCGGGATTCCATTCAATAGAAAACCTCGTCAAGCGGTGAAGAGAAGTGCAGCGATCCGGATCTTGCCATCGACTAGGAAATCCAAGCTTATTCAACAGAGTGAGGAGATATTCTCATCTCGATGAATCAAACGCTTTGGCGATGTCGAGCTTGAGGAATATTGTTGGCAGCTTAGAATTGTGGTAGCGTCTTATTGCATTGCGGACGGCCATGTAGTTGTCATGGATGCTTCGTCTTTTGATGAAAGCACTTTGCGTTGGGGAGACAATGGAACTCATATGGGGCGCTAGGCGTAATGCAAGTACCTTGGCGATTATTTTGGCAAAGGAATGAATCAGGCTGATAGGTCGAAAGTCTGTAATAGCTTCAGCACCATCCTTTTTGGGAATCAAAACCACGTTGGCTGAGTTGAGGAGTGCAAGACTGTTTGTCCGTAGTGAATGGAAGGCATTCGCCGCATTGACGATATCAAGAAGGCGCCAATGTATCCATCTGGCCCCGGTGCTTTGTCAAACGACATTTGGTGGATAGCATGTTTTATCTCCTCTTCAGTGAATGTTGCGTCTAGTCCACTAAGATCATGGGATGGCAGGTTCAGCTCATCCCAGTTGATGTCGTCTTCTTGCCGTCTTTGTAGGGTGTCCCATGAATTTTGAGAAATGGTCAGACATGAAGCTTTGTCATCATGGTTTATTGCCCGACCATGGCCGTGTCGCAATCTTTGGATGTGGTTTTCCTTCTCCTCGCATTTACTTTATGGTGAAAATATTTTGTGTTAGCATCGCCTTGACTTGATTGACGACAGTCTCGATGCTTGTTTACATCTAGCTCTTTCGATCTTCGCTAGCCCCAAAATTCTTTTCTTGAGCTTAGCCCGTAGAAGCAGCTCAAAGGTAGTGAGACTTC